TTCTTAATGTTAACGGCCCTATATTTGTATGCTTTCGAACAAATTACTACACCTAGATGCTGATCATATCCTGCATCTTTGGATTATATCATCTAGTATATATCGTAAAAATATGAGATCTAATTGAATATGTACAAAGAAAAAATCGAAAATTATTTGTCCTGTTACTTTTGGCCCATTCTGTATAGAAATTTTCGACTACTCGTCGCGTCCATCGTAGTTTTCCAAAATATGCTTGGAAAGTATATATGTATTTGTTCTAATGCTCATATTATGTACAAAGAATATTTTCTTGTATGTCAAGTCGATTTCTCACTATACATTCACTCGTCAAATATACTATCAATTTATTGCTTTTTATTTAACATATATTCATAATAAAATAAATATACAGATGATAATAATAGATGATTACAGATAAATTTCCAATGATTGTTCATTGATTTTGACAACAACTCTGTTTTTATTAAAAATATTACATGGAAATGCTTGACGACGCTTTTCTATAACATAATTACGTGAATATGATTTATCAAGTATTGTATCATCAGTAAAATATATTTTGAGATGAAGCAAATTGATTAAACCATCAAGAAGAATATCAACAAGATGTACACATGTATCAAATAAAAATACTTGAAGTTCAATATTGATAAGTGATGGACAACATTGAATTAATTTTGATGCATATTTTAAAGAAAAATAAATATTTTCTGTCAATAATTCCAATCCGTCAACATTTTCTGTCAATAATTCAAGTCCTTGTAGTTGACTAAAAATGGAAGTCAAAGATGGATTATCGAATAAGATTGGAGACAAAAACAATTGAGTACCAGTCTTAAGTTGAATCATATTTGAACATACTCTATAGAAAAAGAAAAAAAGTTAACTATTGAACAATAAATATTAAATGTGATTATTGAATACAAAAAAAAATTATATAGTTTTTAAATCTTCTTCATTATCATGATAGATATTTATTGTAAGTAGTTTTGTTTAAGGGTAATATGTAAAAATTCCTGCATCTTGAAACTTTCATATTTCGACGAAATCTTTTACAAAAACAAAAAAAAAGGATTCTTTAAAGGTTGTGGTAATCTAATGATTTCCTGCTGATGAACCAAAGATGCACTCAAAAAGCTTGCAATAACTTGTGTAATTCTTATTATATCTTTCTAGAAAACGCTACTAATCGCCGTCATTTGAAATGAAATTTGACAAGTTTTTTTTTTGTAAAGTAAAAGGAAACTTGTGTTATTCGAAGAAAAAAAAAGCCATATCATAACATGCATATTGAAAACTTTTATTATTAATTTAATACAGACTTTATGAGACGAATTTTATTATTAACATGGATATAAAAATAATGATAATCTAATATTTAGTATTTACGGTATCAAAATAATAAATCATATTTCTGAGAAAGTTGTGATAAATTGAGTTAAAAAATATTGAACAATATTTCTTTTATTAAGTATGAATCAATCTACTCACTTTGTAAACTATAGAATTGATTGTCATCTGATATTGCAATATTATCCTTAAAACAACATTTATTACAAGAAAACAATCTTATAGAATTTAAAAACAAACAATTAATCACATATTTAGATTTCATATTTTGTATGTCTGATTAATAAAGAAAAAACAAAACATCAGACTAAAGTTATAACGCATATGATGTCTTCTGAGAATATCCCCGGAAACTCGCTTATGTCCTAGGGTAAGAGATATATAGATATAGGAGGTATATAGGTATAGGAAATATAGGAGGTATAGGAAATATAGGAGGTATAGGAGGTATAGGAAATATAGGAGATATAGGAGATATAGGAGATATAGCAGATATTAATTAAGTAGTGCAGATAATCTTTATACAGTGCTTGACTTTGAATAGTGATTCAGTCAGATATATTCATTCAAGTTATCGATCCTTGCTCGAAAATATCAATCATAAAAAATAAATAACTGTTTACTGTGCCTCCTATATCTTCTATATCTCATTCGACTTATCGATCCTTGCTCGAAAAAATCAATCATAAAAAATAAATAACTATTTACTGTGTCTCCTACACCTTCTATATCTCATTCAACTTATCGATCGTTGCTCAAAACAATCATTTATAAAAAAAAATGTTTACTGTGTTTTCAGTACCTCCTATACCTCCTATATCTCCTATATCTCCTATACCTCCTATATCTCCTATACCTCCTATATCTCCTATACCTTTATACCTCTTACCCTAGGACATAATCGAGTTTCCGGAGATATTCTCCGAAGACATGTAATCAATAAAAGACATTGTCAATCAATAGAATAAGATCCCGAACAGATGTTAGCGCTAAATTCTCAATGGCTGTTGTGTTTAAGATAATTGACCAACGATAAAATAAAACAAAAAAAGAATAAGTTTCATTAATTGTTCGTTTTATATTAGTCTATCTATTCTATAATAATCATGGCTCGATCTTTCATATCATCATTATCAAAATTTAGCAATATTGTAAGAGTTCAACAATATTCATTTTCGTTAACATTTCCTCGGTATGATTCAAGTGTTTTGTCCAACACTAATGATACTAAAAAATATGATGGTATGTTTTATTCTCTTTATTTAACTTTCATTTGTGATTTGAGATGTTTCTTTTATTCTAGCTAAAACGAAATTTTTAGTATTATTAATTACAATGAGAGACAGTATGTTATTACTAAAAGATACCAACAAAGTAAAAAATTATTTCAATCAATTAATTCATTCATTACAATATGTTCCATCACAAAATTTCGAATCGAAAAAAATTATCGATTTCTTACATCTCAATGAAAATATGAATGCAAATATTGTTCTTGAAAATTTACATAATATTATTGATGACGTTCCAATGAAAAAAGATGATAAACTGAAACTTCATACGATCGTTAATAATTTAAAATTATTATTTTCACATTGGGAAGATACAATTATTAAATTAGAATTATCTGTTACACGTCTAGAAAAATCACATTTTGAATTAACACCATCAAATATTGATTTAAAATCATCGGTTTCAGCGTTAGAAAAATCAAATCTCGAATTAACATCATCGGAGTAAAATCTTATCGCCAATTCCTAATTTCGCCAATTGTAGTTTTCGCCAATTGGCGAATATCCACTAGTAATTCGCCAATTGGCGAAATTCGTGAGGAAGTTCGCCAATGGCGAATATACAATTGGCGAAATTCACAATTGGCGAAATTACAGAGACTCACATCATCACATGCTGATTTAAAATCATCTGTTTCAAATTTAAAAAAATTATATTTCCAATTAATGTCATACAAATACATGTCTTGTGTTAGTGAATTAATGCGATCTACTGTTCGATCGATTAAAAAAGAATTTAGAAAAAAATTAATAATAGAATATATATCAGAAAATTTTGATACAACAACATTTGAAAGTTTACTTGATGATCCTCAACACAAAGAAATAAAAGAATTTCTTAATTTAGATGATAATCAAATTGATTTAATGTTATCAATATTTGATAAAATATGTTCAAAATATGGATTTTCAAATAAACATCAATCAGCTCATTATTTATCGATGGCATCAATACGAAATGAACGAGAACATGATATGATGGATGATTATATTAAACGAACACCTCATGCTAAACATTCATTTGAAATGTATTGTAAACAAAATGATATTATTGAATATTATAATGAAAAAGATCATGTTCTACTTCCCAGGTGATTCTCGCTCGGTCGGATTCCGTCGGATTCAAATAATTGCGTCCGTATCTTGTCGGAATCCCATGAGCCGGATTCCAACTGTCGGATCTGATCGGACACGTGCAAAATCTGATAGGATTCTATCGGATTTTGTCAGTTTTTATCGGATTCCGACGAAATCCGGACCGGAATCCTGTGCAAGGATTGCTTGTCTTGGGTTGAAAACTTATTTACATTATATTTAACAGAACTGATTAAAAAATCATAGAAAGAAGAAAAGTAAATAAACAGTTGTTCTTTTTTTGTATTTTTGTTATAGTGTAATTTATCTTTGTTACATATTTCTATTGTTATTTTCTTTCTTTTCTTTTTCTTTTTCTTTTCTTCTCACTCTTGTCTCGTTTGTTTTCTTGCTACAACATCAGATAATTCATCACTTGGACCATTATTTCATAGTGCTGCTTGTCAACAATTATGTTATTATTTATATGAAATACCAAGGAATGCAATACCAGTTGAATTATGACAATTAATTATTTTAAACGTTTATTAGAAAGAGCAACAGCTGATAAATCATTATATATGTTATTTTGATTCATTAGATCAATTATCGTCAGTTGATGGTGTACATTCAATGTCATGGATACTATCAATACTTCAAAGTCATGTTAAACTTGTAAGAAAAAAACAATTTTTTAATGAAATTTTTAATTAAAGATATGTTGTTTAGATTGTTTCACCATTTAGGGGTGTCAACTTTGGGTTCCGTTCCTAGGAACGGGGAACGCGAAACGCTACCCCGTTCCTCAGCGTTCCGTTCCTAGAAACTGGTACGCAACATACGTTTCTTTCACTTTTAACAGAAATTTTACTAATTCACCGAAGGAAACCCAATTTCATAAAAATTAGGGATGTCAACGTGCCCCGTTCCTCAGCATTCCGTTCCTAGGAACGGGGAACGCTGAACACTCAAACATAAAAAGAAAAGTGAATATGTCTAGAGACCTCGCCATGTTGAAATATAGCGTGGAAATGCATTTTGACAAGCGTTCCCGTTCCTAGGAACGGAATGCTGAGGAACGGGGAACGCTGACACCGCCATTCACCATTATCTGGAATATTTAATATTTTAAATACACTTCGATATATAATTGATAGTCGAGAAAATTTTGTTTAAGTATATTGTTTTTTTCAATTTATTCTTTTAATTAATTTTTATTTTTTAAATTTAGATAAAACCGTTAAGTGAAGAATTAGCTACAATTGTATTAAAAGTTTGATTAGCTCGTCAACATCGAACAATAATAGATACATACTAGATGCGCCAGATATGTCTCTTTCCAATGGTGAAAACTGCAGCTTTCTATCTTGTACCTATCAAAAGTTATTCAAAAAAGACCCACCCGCCTTCTTTTTTGGAATGGGCAGTAGATAGTTGTACCATGAAGCTTTTCGGAGGCCCTCTAGTGGTAATGAATGCATCGGCAACAGCAGGCGATATGAAGAACAACAAATAATAAGGTATAAAAGTCATGGAATATGGATCTTGTAATAGAAATACTACCACTGCTTCAAATAGCGGTTTAGATATGCTTGTAACTCCTTTTGTCAACTAAAAGTCAATATTTGTTTATTTCACATGTCGACATCATTCGTAGGTTGATAAAGATGAAGAATAGAAACACGATATTCAATAAAAGAAAAAGATCTGTTTGATCCGTCAAATGTGCGCTTATCAAGGCTGTAGAATAGACATGAAGTCAAGTGACAGATAAATTTCTAGGAATTGTGATATTGAAAAAAAGAAAAACACAGTTGGACCATCATATAGTATTACATGTATTTACTTATTGTATCTACCATCATAAGCTACAAAGCTTCAATGAGGTACAATTCAAGTTTTCTAGTTAGTATTCTTCCTTTCTGAATTGAGAAAGTGGAATGAAACAAGGATAAGTGTTTTAGAATTTCACACTAAGACCAGCTTCCATTTGAAGTTGATTTACTACATTCGAAATCAAATTTAATAAGATAGGCAAGTAACCTAGTCACAATCCGAAAAAAGTGCGATAATGAAGAGAATGGATTCCAAACGATAATAATACATTTCTCGCAATAAACCCATGGTGATCTTTTGTCATTAAAAACTATTTCATGAAACGAAACTCGCACGTGAAATATTTAGACAGAGATCAAATGTCTCTCGAATCGAAGAAAAATTGAGGGTGTGGGTGTGGATTTGAACACTGCTTGCATCTACACCTATACCCATATCCTGCACATATTGCGTCCCTTAATACTATTCGCATATTCTCCTGTTCTCTAATGCTTTGGACTACTGATTACCTACGATTAAAAGACATTTTCTTAAATGTTCATCGAGAAAACTCAGACGTGTAAATGAAAATAAAAAGAATGAATATTCAAAAAGAAAATGTGGAACTGTGGAAATTATTATTCGTCTTTATTCTTCTATCATCAGCATTCAAACAATGATTAAAATCTTTTTATACTTAATACACACAGAAACATACATAATAAAAAACAAACAGAAATCCATAAATTTTAAAAGAATTTTTTTAAAAATAGTTATAATACAATTGAGAAAAGAAGTTATCATCATTGATGACTTATGGATACTGATCATAACCAACCAAGAACAATCACAGGCCTATGAAAATTTATTTTGTTATAAATTAAGCAAGCAGAATATTAAGAATGAGAAAGTTTTACGTATAATTGTTAAATCATTATGAACAAAAAAAAAACTAAATATTAATTTATTGATTTATTTTGTTTTTTTATTTGTTAGATAATAAAACAATCCTTTATATGTTATATTTAGTTATTAAAGAGAGTAGAAGAAGTTTAAGATCGATTAAGACCATGTGGCTGAATTGTGTAAGGTTGATACCGGGCAGAGACAGAAGAACCTGTTGCTGCTGGTGTGATTTTTCCTGAATGATTGTTTGTTGTTGATCTAGTAGCTACACCTGCACGATAAAAAGAAGAGAAACAAAAAGCAAAAGAAAGCAGTGAGATATTATAAAAATAATTATAAATATCAGTTTAGAGAAATCATTTTTATGGTTGTCAGTCAATTCTATAGCATTTACAAAGAGAAAAGAAATCATATAAATAAAATAAAAAAAACCTTGATTTTTAAAAAAGAAACAAGAGGAATAAAGCGTTTTATTGGTTCATGCCTTTTTTTTGTCTTCATCATCGCTGAATCAGTGATATTAACGAGCCTAGAAGAAGAGAGAGAGAGAATGGTTTCTGTTTTCTATATCTAAACTATCTATCTATCGCTAGAAGCATATCACCTGCTGTTATTTCTAATTAATTTATGATTAAATACAATAATTTGGTTATGTGATTTCGTTAGAAAGTGATTATACAAAAAAAAAGCAAGTTTTTGTATGTTTCTTTTTTTTATATAGTAGTGAATTTAGATATGAATAGATATTATGGATTAACATAGAGTTAAGGAATAGATCAATACGTTTGCTTTTACGATGTCTATGACAACAATAATAGCAAGTGCATAATGCTGTTCAACAAAAAGTTATAGTGAACTAAATTTGATACCTGTTGATGTTGTCGTTGTAAGAAAAGGAAATGCTAAAGAAAAGAAAAAATATTTAAATAAAAATAAAATGAAAAACAAAAATATAATAAATTATTTACCAGTTTGACTTGGATATTCAAATAAATGTGTACCACTAGTCAACATACCTCCGATTTGATCTATTGTTTGTAATGGTGTAAATACTTGAACGAAATTTGATTCACCATTTTGTAGAAGTGAATTTTGTGACACAGTGCTTAATGTTGGTTGTGTTTCAGTTGTTGTAAAAAAAGTTGGTGTTGTTGCTGATTGCATTTGTGTTGTAAGAAAATTTTGTTGTATACGTGGTGTTAAAATTAATGGAGCACCAATTGGTATTTGATTATTTTGAAATTGAAATTTTTTTGAAAATAAATTTGGTTCACGATATGTTCCATTAATGATAGCTAATTCTGTTAATTGTTTCTTTTTTAAATAATCTTCACCTTCAGTCTTAAATAAAACAAAAAAGAAAAACAATAAATTTTTAGAATAATTCAACAAAAATATATTTACAGTTGGTTTTAATAATTTACTAATTTCATCTTTAGCTCGTTCTAATTTAACTAATGCACGATTTTCATAATCTTCACATTGAATTAATACATGAAGTTCGTCATTTAAATGTTCCCAATTTGGTTTACCACGATTTTGATCTTCCTATATTTATTAATATTAATAGAAAAAAAAATTCTAATAATTTATATTTTACTTTTTGTTTATCTCTCATTGATCCTCGACCACGAACCATTATTTTACAACCTGTATCAACTTCAAGTTGTTTTGCTGTCATTCCTCTTGGACCCAAAATACGACCAACGAAATTAAACTGAAATAAACATATAATTCGAAATAATAGTATTATCATATTTTATAAATAAACAAAACAAAAAATAAAAAACTATCGCATGTATTCATGATAATCAATAAAGAACTTAGAAAAATAATTTTGTTATTATAATAACTTTCCAAATTGAGAGAAAAAAACAAAGAATTAGTTTATTTATTCGTGATTTGGTTTTTAATGTGCAAAGGCATATTAAAAGTGATCGTAAATATGCGTGATTTTTTTTCTTGTCAATTGAAAGAGCAAAAAAGAAAAACTGTTGGGACTTAAATTGTTAGAGATTACCGTATATATTTAATTTTTTCGACGTACTAGTAAATCTAGAGTACAAAAATATTTTAGACTCTAACGGATAGAAATACTCGAAAATGAATATGAGAATTAATAAAACATATCTCAACACTTAGTATAGTATAGAATATTGAACAAGAACATCATGCATTTCTTGATAAAGAACAATAATAACTTACTTCAGGATATTCTAATACTGGAATGAAAATTTTTTCTTGAAATATTTTCTTTTCTCCATTTGGTTCAGGTAAAATAATTTTTGGATGAGCATTTGAATTAAATAGATTAAATCGAACTTTGTTTATTTCTAAAATATTTTTTGTAAGAAAAAAAATTAAACAATAATTTTATATATATTTACCTTGATCAAGTAAACGTTCAACATGAATGAACATATTTGGTACAGCAGCAAGTTGTCTTTTATCTTTAAGTAATTGTGATAAATAATCTATTTTATCCGTCACATTTATTTCAGCTTCAATCGTTGATGATGATCTAAACAAAAAAACAAAACAGATAATCGTTTAATTATTATTTTCTTTTTGTAAATATATTCTTCAAATTATTTACGAATTAACAGAAGATAAATCGAATGAAGTAGATGTTTGATCAGTTTCACCATTATGATGAATAGTTAAAAATTGTCCAGATGTAGACGACATTAATATAGTAGTAGATCAGATTTTTTTGTTTTTATTTATATTGGTACATGTGTGTGTAGTAAACTATTGTTCGTCACACGGATGATTGAATGAAAATGAATCAAGTAAAGAAAGTAATATAAGTAACGAAGAAAAAAAAAACCCGTCAAATACGTGCTTGAAACAGAACAAACGAAATTGTTTCGTCGATTGTTATTGGTTTTGTGTATAGTGCATGAAATACATATATCAAGTTAACAAAATGCTGAGAAAAGAAATAAAATCATTGACTGAGCAATAATCACAGATCGATATAGTGAATTATATTATGCTGATCTTTAATCTATCGTCGCAATAAATAAGAATTTTCTTTTTTCGTCTTTCTTTTAGTTTTCAGTCACACGTTGTCCTTCTTTTGTCAAATATACATATGTACAGCCGCCACGACAACGACGATGACGCCTACGAACACCTTTAATAGGGTTTTTTTTTCGTTTCTACACAAGAAGACACATTTATATTCGATGTATTTTTGCATCATCAAATGAGAAAAAAAAAGGTTCGCACATTTACTATTATGGCAATTAAATTCATTTTTTTTTCTTGCCTTTATTTCGATAAATATTTCGTTGTAATTATTTTTTTGATTTCATCAAAAGAAATTTACATATCGAATATATATATTGAAAACGAAACAATTTTTTTTTTCAATTTCTTTGTTTGTATGAATGAATAAAAATGAAATCAATAAAAAAACATTTTGCTTGCAAACACTTGAATTTCATAAAATGTATTTAAACATTTTTTACATCAACAGGGTAAAGGAGTAGATGCTCATGACAAAAAAAAAAGAAAGATTTTTAATTACGTGTTCATTACTAAACATATTTATTACGAAAAATTTTAATATCAAATAAAGAAATCGAAAGTTTTGTTATTGACATATATTTTACTACATATATTAATAATGATTAACTCTAAGATTCTATTGTTCATAATTCATTTTTAGAAATGAGTAAAAAGAAATCTTCAGATAAACAATCAAATGACAATGATGATGAACTTAAACTAAATGAATTGAAATTACCAATTTATGTATCACATTTAAAAAATGGTAATACATTATGTGCAAATGACAATTTATTAATTCTTCAAAATGGTTCAACAACATTAGAAATTCGTACACTACCAAAATTTGAACCAAAACATATTCCATGGCATGAAGGTTTACTTCGAGATATTGTTTGGTGTTCAGAACTTGGTTTATTTATTTTTTTAACACAAAATGCTTTATTTACATTTAATCCACAATCTATAGCTAGTCCTTCTACAACAACAATTAATACTGAATATCGATTTAAAATAATATCATACAGTACAATTAAACCATACGATAATAATAGTGTATTTTGGCGGTGTACATGTGTTGGTACAACAGTATACATTACTTATTCAGGTAGAAAGAATTCGAAATATGTTACTAAATTTAAAAGACAAACAACAGAAGAAAGATCGACAAGGAAATTTTTTTGTTATATCATTGATGCATGGAATGTTAGTCCTGTAATCATAGAAAATTATTCATGTCTCTTCTGTTTTCTTCAAAGCAAAATGTTTTCAATGTTGTTAACAACCAATACAGCATTTTTTGAATGTCTAAGCAGAAATATTGTATTATCAATTAATAGGACTTATGCAGATTTTATATGTATTCATAGAATACAAAACGAATAGATTGGCTTTCAAAAACGAAATCGTAGATCGAGACAGTTTTTCAGAATCGCAAACTGTTTCTTCGAAAGAAAAAGGTTTTGAATACAACACTCTGAAATAAAAACCTACATATATACATTTATAATCAAATCCTCTAGATGCAAATCAAAATAATTTTGATATTTCTATATTCAACAAAAGTTTCATCATTTCTCTTGACAATATTACTCATTCATAGTCAAGTTTAATAGTATCAATCGAAAACAAAATTTAATTAATTATTCAAAACTTTTTTTGTTTTCTTATTGATTAGGTAGTGGAACAGTTATTGATGAATATATCTTAGAAAAATCTTCATGTAGATTAATTAATCGTTGGATGCCCCCACAAACATGTGCTACATATGAAGGTATATGGTGTATACGTTCACATCCAAATACGAATCAATTAGGTATGACTATATTAAATCTAAAAAATAATCAATGGCATTTTGAAATTCGTAATTCAAATAATCTTTCTCAAATATGGGAAACAATAATACCAATATTACATGGTGATTGTGAATTATCACCATTGTTAAATAATGAATGGCTTCTAATTAATTCATGTGGAATACGTTTATTTCAAATAGGTAATCTTAAATTCAAAACAGCTGTTGAATATGAACGTGAATTAAAAAATGCTATTACAGTTAAAGACGATTATTTTATTGTTCGAACAAAATATACAATAGAAATCCATGCAACGAAGAAGAAAAACAAGAATTAGATATGTTGAATTTTTTTTTTACTCCATTTTTTTGTAATAATTTTGTATACAAAATAAAATAAAATAAAACAGAAAATTAAAATAAGTTTTTCTTACAATGGAGATGTGTGAACTGTTGGGCGAAAAGATTGACTATTTGTAGTCTAATAGTTTTAGTTTAGTAATAAATACTCCATATTATAGACTTTACTTGCAGTATAACACTAGATTTCAAGAAATGTATCCTTTTGGGACTTTCATATCTCAATAAGATCTACCTGATGTACAAAATCTGAATTCAAAAGTAATTTGATAATTTATAAAATATGCGATCCTGAGTATCAGTTAGAATTGAAATCTATCTCTAGGCAAAACCAGTGTTGCTACCACATTCACACCAATATTACTCTTCGCAACCTGAAAATATCTAATATATGTTACAGAGCATTATATATTTTAGTTGTCATACTGAGAAATAATCATTTACACAGTATTGTTCCTGTTACGGCCATTTTCACAACATTTTTGGCATAATAAGCTTCTCAACTTTCGTTGAGTATTAACAGGTTCTATTATCACACTGTGAATTGAGAGCTAATCAATGAGAATATTCAGAGTGCGTCAAAAGATACGTCGGAAAACCTATTTTTTCCGAAAAAAATCTTGAAACAGTCATAAGAAAATAGTTTGATATGAGGTGATAAAATCATAATCTAACATACAAAAAAACAATGAAACAAGAATATTCTAAAAGTTGATACCATTTTTCGACGAAAATCAATAAAATAGTATCATCGAATTTTCTTCATTGTACTCAATCGAGAAATATGAGAAGCAATATTTTATAAAAGCCTTGGCGACATCTATTCAATGATGCTAAAATAAAATATCACCAATAAATATTGCAGAATTTATCGATATCTTATTTTTTATTGTTTGACTAGATCTTTCATTAAATTACATTTGCTGATTAAAATAAAATCACAAAAATAAATTGAACATTCGATCTCTCGTTTACTTACTCACACAAAAACAAAAGAATTAAATATATCTTAAACAACTAAATATTCACCATGATTAATAGATTTAATAAAATAATCATTGAGTAAATTTTTTCATTTAATTAAACCATCGAATTCTTTTAAACATATTTTTGATATGTCTGAAATGTCTTCCAATGGAAAATAACGAGCTCCAAATAACTAATTTCATAAAGTATTTTAAAGGAATCATAGGATTAAGAATTGTTGTAATAGAATCATCTGATGTTTCAAAAAAAGTAATTAATAGTCAATTAATTCTGAGATTGAGATTAAACAAACAAGGTGAATGTTTCCACGAGAATGATGCATTTTCTATTATAATTGCAAAATTTCCAGATCTGAATTGTATTTTTTCACATTTATTGAACATAACATCTAATTGCATAAATTGATCGATTCTTCTAGCAGAAACACGTGCTTCACTTAATTTTTCTAACGCATATACCATCGTAATCGTTACAGTAGACCGAACTATAGAGAACAAGGTTAGTACCGGAAAAATATTTGCTGGCTACAAAGTTTGACCCATGAGCCAATTTCTACTGAATGTTGCAAGAGAAATTAATGGTAAAGTTGCGAAGAAGAGACCAACATTTAGCACTCGCAAAAAACTAGATTTGTAAAGGCTAGAAAGTTCATGTAGACGTATTTGACGTACTTGTTTTTTCCATAGCTTCGTCGCAATTGTACATTTTAATAATTTAACACCTATTCACAAGCTCATTAATTGCTTGAACACGCTTATCTGCACATGACATTCTTACCATTCGATATCGACTAAATAGTCTGCTAAATATGATTTGCAATAGTACTATTATAATAAACACTGCATAACCGAATACTGTCGGAAGTCCAATGTACTACCAAATTAAAACAAATGTCGTGATGGGTTCTATAGGTGTCAACAGTAGAGCATACATGAAAAAACAGAATTCTTGAAATTTACTGGCATCATTCGCTATTAGATTGATAACTTTCCTATGTTCAAAATGTTTATATGACAGCTTGTTTGATATGTGTTCTGTGACTCATGAATTTTTAGAACTTTTCAAAATTTGACAGCAAATAATTTTTGTAACCTTTATTGGTTGGTATGGATAAATTCCATTTTATACGGGCTTCCATTTGGTATAAAATTTCTTATTGATTCTATTCGAAATCATGACGATGGCGATACTCTGCTGGAACAATATTATTTTAGACTTCGACCTAGTAGAGTAGTAGCACTTTGCATTTATTTGTGAAAAGACAGGAAAATAAAAGTGATATTTCTTCGCTAAGGAACTTACTATCATACTTTTTTTGAAATCAGATCAATGGTAGTAACAACATGAACATAGTGCAATAATAGTGAAATTAACGAAATGATTTTATTCATTGCAAAATAACTGATGTCATAAAACTTTTTCAATGAAATGTTTCGAAATCTATATGTATTGGTAGATGTTGTAAAAATGTGATTGTATATGAATTGATCGTATTCAATATTTATTAAACAATGTGCAAAGAAGTTCGTTGGAACGTAAGACTGTTAACCAATATTCAAATATTTCCGGTCGTATGAACAGCAACTCTTCAGATGAGATGAAACTTTCATTGAAAAAACACAGACAAGTCTATTTTTGGGAGGGTGTGGGTGTGGGTGTGGGGAAAAAAAGAATCGCATTCACACCCACACACAAACCCAAACCTGCACCAATATCCACACCCCAAACAAGATAAACAAGTTAGTCTATTCTCATATAGCTTATAATTATGAAATGAATTAAAGTTTAGCTGTTTTAATAAAAGTTTCAGTAATTAACTATTTTATAAAATAATATCATATATATATAAAGAGCGACAACATGAAAGACTAAATGTAAAATAGGAAGAAGGAGAAACAAAAATGATAATTTTAATTATTTCTTCAATTGATGGATATTTCGAGCAAACTTTTTGTTCATCGATAGCACCGTTGAGCAATACCATAATAGTTGTTAGAGAAAAAATAATATAACAATTTTTAATACATTATGTAATTTTAATTATAAAATAATATCATACAGGGTGTCCCAGAAATAACACCCCGATAAGAAATTTAAATATCTTTGCCAGATGTCGACCAAACGAACTGATCTTTTTATCAATGATAGATACATGTGCAAGCTTTATATTCATAAAGACATGCCTAGAGAGACCTTTTGTTAAGTATCACTATTCACTTTAACAAAAAAATTTTACTTTTTCACAGATAGGAAAAAAAACAATATATCGAGTGGAGAAAAACTCACTTTACCGAAAAAACAATTGAATATCTCCATTATAGCTCGAGCAAACGAACTGATCTTTTTATCAATGATAGATGCATGTGCAAGCTTTATATTCATAAAGACATGCCTAGAGAGACCTTTTGTTAAGTATATTGTCTTTTTTCCTATCTGTGAAAAAGTAAATTTTTTTTGTTGAGGTGAATAGTGATACTTAACAAAGAGTCTCTCTAGGCATGCCTTTATGGATATAAACTTTGAATATACCTCTATTACTGGTAAAAATTTCAGCTCGTTTGGTCGACATCTGACGAAGATATTTAAATTTCTTATCGGGGTGTTATTTATGGGACACTCTGTATATATAATAAAGAACAACATGAAAGACTGAATGTAAAAAAAGGGAGAAGAACCGAAAATGATAATTTTGATTTTCTTCAATTTGTCTAACAACTATTATGATACTACTCAACGATGCTGTCGATGAGCAAAGAGTTTGTTCGAAATATCCATCAATTGAAGAAATAGTAAAAATTATCATTTTCGTTTCTTCTTCTTCCTTTTTTACATTTAGTCTTTCATGTTATTCTTCATTATATGTATGATATTATTTTATAATTAGAAATTCCATAATTATTAAAAATTGTTATATGTTTTTTCATTGAAAAATATTATTTTTCATTGAGAAAGGCAAGATTCATTTATATTTGTTCACAATCGTAAATGATAAATGTATGCGTAAAATAGCACATTGAGGCACACTAAAACAATTTTATATAAGCTTATGTTTCGCATCTTCATTCTGGCTTGATCACAATCGTGTGCATTCGACCTTATCAAATTATTATTTTCATAAAACGAAATAAAAGAAAAGAAAAACAACAAACCAAGCAATAGTGTATTCAAATATTTAAAAAACAAGATGTCAACAGATTCTCCTGTCCAGGCTAATTCTATTATTAATATCAATGATGAAAAAGCACCTGATCTTATTGAAGTACCTCCTGAAGCTTTTGCTAAAATAGAAAATGTTGAAGAAACAAATATCACATCGTCATCGATATTTAATAAATGTTGGAAATGGATTAAAATATATTTTATGAAGTTTCGTGGATTACATGAAGAACGACCAAAACGTTTACCGTGGCAAGAATATATTTGGAGCTTTATTGGAGCATTTTTTGGTATCGCAGCTGTTGCCTTTCTTCATTTCAGATTAGTTGATAGGTAAGTACTCATTATCATTAACAACAATCGAATAAAACCATTATGTTCTATAGACATCACCTATCATTTTTAATCGGTTCATTTGGTGCTTCTGCTGCAATTATATTTGGTGCGCCACATACTCCATTAGCTCAACCTCGAAATTTGATTGGTGGTCATCTTATAGGAGCTACATGCGGTTGTATAGTACGATTAGCAGTTTACCAATTTGAAAAGTCAATTGGATGTGCTGTTGCAGTTGCTACAGCTATTTTAGTAACGCAACTGACTGGAACAACTCATCCACCAGCTGGTGCAACTGCTCTAATTGCTGTTACTGCTCATCCTATTTTACCTTGGGCAAATTTTCAATTTATTTTAATACCTGCTCTTACTGGTGCTTGTACTGTGTTATTAGTTGCGTTAATTGTTAATAATATGGCACCTAAACGAACTTATCCTAGTTTTTGGTGGTAGTTTTATATATATTTCATATATAATTAAATGGATTATATTTTTAATTTCAATGAGCATCTAAGCTTTACTTAGTATGGTTATATGTATATAAATATCTAACCATTTCATTCTGAAAACTACTAAAATTTAGTGAATATGTGTGATGATGATAGTATATAACTCAAATAAAGAGCATCAATAAATAAGTATCGTATTTTTTGTCATTTCAACGGTATATAATCATGTTTACTTGCTTTAATAATATAACGATATTAAGGGTTTTTATAAGAAAAATTTATATATTAGAAAAAGGATATTATTCTCATAACACTTCAAAGTTCATTTTCATCATTGACTTAAATTACGTAGTTTATTGTAACCTTTGTCCTTATTCATTCTAGAAAAAACAGTTATTTATAATACTTATTTGAATGTACATCAAATAAATCGATCAATGTAATGAATAAATATGAGATAAAACATGTTTTCTTAATACTTTCGCATTGATCATAATGAGTTTCACCCCGAAGAAGAAATAACTCAGTTTTCAATTGTGAAGTCTTAAAAGTCCTTGAACTCTTCTGAAACTTTTTCAATGCGTTTTGTTTATGTAAAATTTACAAGATAACTGCATGATTGATATATATTTTAAAAGCAGAACGGGATGAAGAAGATCTTATACAAGGATAATTGAAAATCTTGCAGATAGACGGTTGTCATGATATATGACGATGAAACTGTCTTGTTTTTAATATGTTCCTTTTACCGAAAATCTGAACTTTTATTGTTTTGTCAATCTGCCTGAAAAAGAAGCTTACTCTAGTTCACTTCTCTTGGAAAAATCCTAGAGACCTCCTAGAGAGTTTTCGGGAAGCTACGACAGGGATTTTCTAGGGAGTTTCAAATGAGTCTTCAGAGATTTTATTGATTTATAAGCGAGTCCATAAAAAGGAAGCGTTGCAACTCGTCACGTTTTTTTTTTTGCCTGGCTTTCATAAAGAACGGACAGTACGAAGTCCCTGATTCAGTCAATTACAGAGGTTTCGTACCGACAAGAATCATGGCTTTCGTAACGAATTTTACAGGGTGATCGTAACCGGTGTTTTGATATGTGCCATTTTAGAACATCACATCCTCAATTACAGGCATTTCTTAATGAATTTTATAGGGTTGTCGTACTATACTTTACTGAAGAAATATGACTGATAATATACTGGGACAAGACGATTGGTTACGACAGCCCTGATCTTTCGTTACGATAACCCTGTACATCTAGCCCAAATACACTATACTTTTATGGAACGACAACTCTGAATGGACGGTTATGTCTTCTCTATAAAATTCGTTACAACAGCCCTGATTTGATACTCTTACATCCTTTGAAATATATCGTGAGAAATCCTATTTTAACTGTTACGACAGTCCTGTGCAATTCGTTACGAAATTCATGTAATTTTTGTATGTAAATGAAGCCTGTCTAACACATACTTCATTACGAAATCCCTCTTGTTTCGTTGCGAAAACTCTGCAACTGTTACGAACTCCTTGTGAAATTCGTTACGATACCCCTGTTTTTTTCGGCTATCCCTATTTTCTGTGTTACAAAAGCCCTGATTTTTGCTGCTTCAACAACTCGTCACGTGACGAATTGAAACGTTCTCCATAAAAAAAAACTAATAAACACTAAAGTCCGTTCCTGGGTGTAGATGTGAGTGCACATTCATCAGAGATGGAATCGGTTCGTGTTTCTTTAGAATCGAACCTAACCGAACTCAGTCAAAACTTACAATAAGCTAACTAATTGACAGTGTCCCATAAGTCATGATAACTGTATAGATGCTTCCTCAAGCAATTCAATAACACATTATTCAATGCTTATGCTTACCACCAGATTATGTTCGGCGATACACAAAGCAACTCGATATACGTATTATTGATACCATTAAGAGCTATCAAGTGCAGTCCAATGCTCCTAGTTTTATTGTTATCCAACAAAACTACGGTTTCTGTCAGGTATCTAAAGATTTGCCTTGTCTTCAAAACTGAATTCGAGAGAACTATCTAGAATTGTATGAAGTTATATCATATTCTGGGCCCTGCCATTACTTGTCACAACGAATAGATCATCATGATAGAAAATATTGAGAGATAAAACAAGTTTTAGCAGAAGTTCAACATCTGAAAAGATTGAAGCGAAAGAATATGATTTATGAATTTGTACAACAGATATGGCCTGAACTAAGAGAACGAGACAATGTGAATTTAGTTGTTGAAAAGTAGCTTTGGGTGTAGGTATAAATCGTCTCTCTTCACCCACGTTCACACCCTGTACTAGGTAATAGATATCCACATATACGAAAAAGTTGTGATTCATCAATGTGATCTGAACTTTTGCATTCAAAGTATGATTGAACGTCAGGAGCCTTGATAAGTTTTTTAAGTCCTGACAATACTCTGAATTACATAAGTTAGTGTACATATTGGAGAAAAAAATGCGTAAATAACTATGTGATTTGTTTACAATTTAACTGTCGTTACTCTATTTATTTGCATCAGAAGAAAAATTGTCAAAATAACGTAACGAACAAATTTCCAACATGAATATGTGCAATATCATTCTGACGATACGGTTGAGTGATTTTTGTTTAACATCATGAGTAATGATAAACTAAAACTCAAAGGTAGGTCAACATTTGCATAATTATTTTTCTCATGTTGTGTTTATTTTTTTTTTCGTTCTCATTTATGATAAAATAATGGAAATATTCAAATTGTCATTGTATAAAATTTCATTTAGAACTCAGTATGAAGAACAAATAATAAGAAGATGTTTGATTTCGTTTCAGTTCAAAAACATCTGGATATTTTCGTCAGAATGGAAGTATTAATTCGAAATTTTATGATATATTTCAATGTTGAATTAATAGTGCATTTGTTTTAATAGCTGCAAATTGTGTTCCAAGAAAATTTCTGAATATTAATATAGTTATTAATTAACATAGATGGCGAAATAAAATTTTCATTTAAAGAAAACAGAAATTTACCTCACAATTCCTATTGAATTTTTTCTACTAAGCACTGCTTTACTAGAATATTTCTCACATCGATTGACCGGTTTGACTAATATAAGAAAAGAAAAAACCTACAGAGACTTAAACTAATAGAGCTATCGAGTCGGTTCTGCACCAATGCAGATACAAATATTAATTGGTACATGTTTAATAGTACAAAACAATTCGACTTTAATGATATAACACTCTTTGTCTATTTCCAGATTGAAAAAATATAGACATTTGGTACTATATAATCCAGTTTAAACATAATACACCGAGAATAAGAATTTCAACTAAACAATCAAAAGATGAATTTTATTTTGTAATATATAAGCGTTTATAACGCAAGGCTTACCGTCAGATTTGAATTGAAAAAATGATATCTACCAAAATTCGTTTTCTTTTTCTTTTTTTATTGATGTTACTTTTATGAAAGATTTTTGTATTGTTGTTTAGTTTTTGGCTTAATCCGATATAGTAATCATATACCAGAGTTACAGATGATGTTATATATCATCTAAAATACGTTGTACTACATGAGCACCATCTCTACTCTCAATGACATGTTATTTTAATTTTAACATTATGTATTTAATTCCAAAAATATTACAAATAAATACTTATGTATAATTTTACAATAAACAATAAAACCCATTTACTGCTACATATACTGTCATAATCACACATATATGATATAGTACTGGCCAAAAATTGTAAAACCACTTATTTGAATGCATTTGTTTGCTCACTCTCGATCACTGTAGACTTTCTAGAAAAGAAAAGTCGATGTGATCTACATGTATTTGAGTGTGCTCTCTTCAAATATGGAATCAGTTTCTCTCCACACTTTAGCTAAGCTGGCGAAAACAAATGTCAATCAAAATTCGTTGATTTTTACCTGGTCAAAACTATAGAACCGCTATCATGTTTACATTATTTGTAGATCAGAGGGATGCTAGGATGGACGTGGGTGTGGGTGTGAGTATGGATTTTCTCGTCATCAACAGTCACAGTCACAGCCACGCCCACAGCCACACCACACCCACACCCCCTTACACCCTTTATTTACATGAATTGGTTGGACTTTAAACTACTATGCTGATTTGTCACACTTAGTACGCGCACCGATCTCGCACCAGCGTAACGTGTGCTGCACAACTCCGCACGAGCTGGCATTGGTATATATATATTATATATATTTTTTCTTTCGTTCTGTGAAGAGAACACACTAACGAACAAGCGAACGAAGATTTGGTCGTTGTAGCTGCTCAGCACATTACCCACCTCCAAGTAGAGAGAATAAAGGAAGAGAAAGAAATCTATTCGTAAAAAAAAGGCGATGTTCGATTGGAAAATTGGTTGCAAAAGTGCATGGTAATACTTGTTTAAAAGAAAATCTACATCACTGGCAATGAGTGCACCTGTAGTATTGATTCGAATACAACCACTGGTGACAGGTCTGATAACGAACGAAAACAGCTCTATCATCAATGAAAATGATGAGAAACGATACTACGCCAATGCTATTCGTCGTCTGGTTCGAAAACTTGATCGAAGACTAATTCCTTTCTTGGTTCTCCTGGAAATCAGCTCATTCATCAATAGAGTGAGCTTTGGTATGTATTTTTGACTTGAATCATTCGTCATTGGTGATATTCTCATAGGTCACACTAAACTGATGGGCATTCAAACTGATCTACATATGACAGACTCAGAGAGTAGTTGGGTTATTTCAGTCTTTGACATTGCCCGTGTAAGAAAATGACATTATTGATTTTCCAAGTGTTCTAATTCATCTTTTATTCTAGCTTCTTTTCGTTATTCCTAGCAATATTCTTATGCGCTTCATCGGTCCGACTTGTTATCTGGCATTAAGTATGCTTATATCGGGTAGCATTACGATCGGTATGGCTTTTGTAACTAATGCTCGACAACTGATCATTGTCCGCTTTTTTCTGGTAAGTTAATTGGATTTCAATTGATAATAAAACATTTCATACTGTCACTGAAGGGTGTGGCTGAAGCGGGCTATTTTGCGGGTATCATCACTTATTTCTCTCTTTGGTACTGTAAAAAAGAGCAAACTATGAGAATGGCTATACTGTGTGCAGCCGTTCCGGCTGCTGGTGGTATCGATGGTATTCTGGTGCGTATTCATCGATCTCATAATAGATCATCTATTTTGACGTTTTAGAATCTACTATTGTCATTATTCTAGACTTATGGTATCTCGCACATGCAAGGCATCGGTGGTCTGAATAGTTGGCAATGGACATTTTTACTCGAAGGTTTACCGATCATCCCTCTCGGCGTTCTTGTCTATGTGCTTCTTGACAAAATACCAAATGCTGTTCAGTGTAAGAGTTTAAAGAAGAATAGAAAATATTCAAGATACTTTTTGAAAATTAAGGGTTGAGTAATATAGAGAAACAACTATTGACAAATCTTCTTCGAGATGACACCGGTGTCGCCGACAGTGAACCTATACCAAAAACTCGAATTTCATGGCGGCAAGTACGCTATGTTTTTATTGATTGGCAAATCTATTTGTACAGTATGATTGCTGGTGGCATTTTGGCCGCTCTCAAATCCCTGATAACGCTCCTTCCAACTCTATTCGAAACTACGGGTTATACCAAAACTGAAACACACTTAATGACGACACTGCCTTATGCTGTTGCATGTGTTTGTGCTCTTCTGGTTGGCTATTCATCGTCACATCGAAATGAACATGGCTATCATCTCTTATTCTGTTTATCAATCGCACTACTAGGATTCATCCTAATGTTCACTCTGTCCAATCAAGGCAAAGTAGTCATGTGTATCAGCAGCACTGTTAGTTGTTGTGGTGTATTATCTGCGCTATCTCTACCACTCTCTTGGTTGACAAATAACATCGGTGGTCATACAAAGAGATCAATGGCAATAAGTTTCGTGATGGGTATCGGTCAAATTGGTGGCATCTGCATGCCTCTAGTAAGACAACTGTTTGTGAAAGCTTATAGAATAACCTATGAAGTCCATTTGCAACATTATAATGCCTTTAAACAGTATTAATAATGTTTTTTTCTTCGTAGATTTATAGAGACGTTGATAAGCCGACGTATCGACGCGGGCACGCAATTTGTAGTGGATTGATAGCTGTTAGTATGGCTGCTACCATTATTTTATTGATTTGTTTAATGAAAGAAAATAACCGGCGAACAAATTTATCACCTGAAGAATATACACGTGAAGCTACTATCAAAGAACCTTGCGATCGAGTAGGTTCATATTTGATTTTTTATTTTACAACGTTTCCTTTCTGATTATCTTTAGCATCCCGACGTACGCTACTCGTTGTGATATGAAAGTTTTTGTATCTACCAAAATGAACATGAATATTAAATATTCCCGAAATTTATTCATTATCAATTTGTCTTATAGTTCTATGAGCAATAAAATTACTGTCAAACAGAAAAAAACTAAAAAATTCTTTCGAGGAAGTGACACATCACACGTGCTTGAATAGTTATGCCTATATTACGGCAATACACAACATTGTATAAATGGTCCTGTTTCTATTTTATATGTAGTTAATGATAGAAAAGAAAAAAAATCTTGATGTCAAATGCAAAAGTAGTAACAAAAAAATACGCTGCTACTGCTCGATCATTACACTTGTTCTACATAATTGGCGCACATTATTGGATGATGTATAATACATGGGCGGTATTTATTTTCAATAGTTTTAGCTTCGTTATAAGGTCTATACAATACAAAGTAGATCACGGAGTAAAACGAAATATGCTTTACACTTGACACCAAAAAAGATATTCAAAATGTCAGTTTTTTGTTTCCAATCTATGCTAAACCTTACCATGTAAAATTTTCTACGCTGAAAACAAAGGTAGCTTTTGATACATAAATGATCAGTTATTTTTGTCAGTTAAGTTGCAACAATTGTTGACTTCGTTCCGTTGCATACTGTCACCAACATTGCGTTACACATACATATAAGAATATCCAGTGCTGAGATTGCACGTATTAGGTAGTCATTACTAATCATCAATGAAATTTGGGATTCTTCTTGTAAATAAAAACTAACTATTCATGTATTAAAAAATAGCCTTGCTCACAGTGTGAAAAAATGACTTAACAAAATTTTGTCTATTTTGAAAAAAAAGACCGGTACTTTGGATATTTTCTTTTTTTGATGCCCAATGTAAAGTGTCTTTTGCTCTACTCTGTGATATGCCTTACTTTGTATTGAATAAATCTTATAAAGAAGCTAGAAATATAGATAGCAAATACCGGTCATATACAGCGGCGTAGCCAAGGGAGGAGCAAATGGGCAATTGCCCATTTCATTTGAAGATTTGCCCATTTTAATTTTTATTAGTAAGTTTTTGCCCATTGAAATTTTACTTTTTCAGAATTGTTTATTTATTTGTGAATTAGATAGTAACTCTATTTTTTTTTCTTCCGTCTGAATCACACATGCACGTTTTGCTTGTTGTTTCTGTAAAGAATGAAGAAAAGAATCGCTTCTGGTATTTTCACCAGGATTGCTCGATGAAAAACTTAAAAAATAAAAATTCTTGTCTTCAAAATCAGAAAAAAAATCAGAATTTTTTTTCGAAATCGGAAATTAATCAGAAAGAGTAACTTTTTGCAAACCAAGAACTATCATGTTGACATACTTGCACAAAAGACTTCACCTTTTTTTTTTATTGTTTATCGACTCATACTTTGTTTCCGAAAGTATTTCATAGTAAAGAAAGATAACACAACCATTATATAGCTTAGAGTAAAAGATCGTGTAGCGTAAGCTAAGGAAATTGATCATAGTCGGAGGATGTGGGTGTGAGTGTTAGTTAAATGAAGAATAGACACCCACACTCACATCCTGACTATACTACCTTGTAGAACTTTAAAAGAATTATTGAATGGTACCTAATGAAATTTGGACCTGCATTCTCACAGTGCCATGGAATTGGGTTTTGTTGTGAGTACTCTTCTGACTGTGCAGTTAAATACTCAAAATGATCCACAGAAAAGCATGAAAGAAGAAAATATTCCGCTGTTATTTTATCACTTCTGAAAGCGCAAAGAATGGACTTTCATTTAACATACAACTCAAATGAAAAGACATTGCAAGTATAAGAAAAAAGTTGCATATGAATACTCTATAATACGACATTTTAGAAAATAGGTAATATCAAATTTCAATTCAGTTGCACGTCATCAGAACTTGTGCAAACGTTGTAATTTAAGCGCTAATCAACGTTTTACATCTTAATCGACTATTCTGAAAAAAAAGAAACTTGAATCTGAGACGGCCGATTTCATCGCTTAACAGCCTCCTCCTTTCTCTGGAGTGCCTGTAGATAATACAGTTTTGTGTTACTTCTTGCAATTTACTTAGTCTTTCGACCAAGATATGAAGTGAGTCGAGCAATAACTGTAAGGTTCGATAGCTTGATAAAATCTGCATCGAAGCATATAAAAAAAAGAAACGATCGAGGCCTTGCAGAAATGCAGCACACGTAGGACAACTCTCCAGAATAATATAATTGAGATGTATATGAATTTCAATTTCGTGTTTTTAATCACTTCATTGTAGAAGTATCGAATAATATGAAATTCATTGTTTGCATAAAACTAGGATATTCTTCAGTGAATAAATGATATTGTTAAATATAAGAAAAATAATATCTCTTATGTGAGAAGAAAGTTACACTCTAAAAAATAAGCTTAGTACCAAGCCTAAAACAAGTTCGCTACTAAACCAATGTTTTTAGAGTACAGATATATGATCACTGGTGATTTCTGCGCGGTAAAGTGAACTGTAGAATGAAGCAAGAATCTCTTTCCAGCTTCGATCAGATCATTCGTTACATCGAATTTGAATTTCTATTTCATGTTAAAAATCAGAATATCAGTATGCTTCCTTTCATAACATGCTTATTTTATACCAAAATATTACGAATCGTCTCGCTTTTGCTGAAGAGAAGAGGTGTGGGTATTGGTGTGGATCCTTATCACATAAATACTCACATCCACACCTTCCCTTATGGTGTACATTTGCGCCGAATCTGAAGGAGTGCCAGATTTGTGATCTTATCCAGCGGTGTCCTTTTTCTCAGTTGATCATCATTCTTTATTGTTAAGTCATTAGAAATGATCCAGGATACCAAGCATTTTATTGACATACTCTTAATGTATAGAATATTTGTAATAAACAATTAAATACACTAATGTCCATTTCAGAGATAAGTGGCCGTGGGCATTTTTCGAATAACTTTTGATAGGAATGAGATAGAAACTTGAGATTTTCACCGCTGGAAAGAGTAGATGAAGACGAATCGAGCCATATATAGAAAGAGTTTTCTAACTACTTTTCTAATGGTATTACATAAAACTTCAAGAAAAACAGCATGCTTCTCATGGTTGCGATATTAAATTATTGATTTTCAGGAGTGCACTAGAACCGTCAGAAAAAGAGCTATAAAACTATACTAAGATTTTATTCGTGACTGCTACCAGTGAGAGATTAAAACCATCGGAGCACAATTTACCACATCATTTCTTTCAAAAAAACAATCGAAAAATGTAAGTTTTTGTAGTATTTTGATAGAAAAATCACTTTTTTAAAGTAGGAGAACAAAGCAATTCTTTGAAAACGCTTGACTAGTACCGTTAGAAAAGTAGTTAGGAAAAACTTTCTATATATAGCTCCATGCGTCTTCATCTGCTCTTTCCAACGGTGAAAACTGCAGGTCTCCATCTCATTCCTATCAAAAGTTATTCAAAAAATGCCCACAACCACTTATCTCTGAAATGGACATTAGTAAGTTATTGTGAATTGATGATATTTTGTTGATTGCTGACGTGTGTGTTATTTTTCTTCTTTATTTTGTATACAACAGTTATGTATGTCCAAAAATGGATTACTGTCTGTCTATTAAATTCGCCGTCGTTGTACCAGACTCTTGTTTTTATATAGTAGTTTGATTCGATTAATAATTCAAATTTTACTATTGAAACATAATTTGCACAATAACATCAAAGATATTCCATCCGCTTTAATAATTCACAACGTTTAACAATTCGAGCATTATTTTATGAAGTTTTATTAAATATCTAATCATTAAAAAAAACCGAATCAAGCTCACATCAATATCTTCATATTACAGACAAAAGATTTTACATGTTAAGACTTATACTATTAATATTTCATCATATTGAAAAATAACATAGGATATGGATGTGGTTGTGGATCCTCGTATAGCTAACACCTATACCCACACATTTAAAATATATATAGGTCCAGATTAAAGAGTAATCGTTAGATGGAATTCTCTGTCACCACTTCCATCGTCTTTGTACACCGGCAAACTAATCGAAGAATCCGACGGATCGAAACTGATGCTGTATATTGAGCACAAGACGTCAAAGTTTTTTCCTATTCGTAGTCAATATCACATTATACATTGGTAGCATAATCTAGTGTTGCTATGTAGTAAAACAAAAAAAAAAGAAAAAAAAAGAAGAGTTAGAACTTTTATTCATGGTTAGAATTTCAAGAGAATTCATAGAGCGATGTACAAAACACGTTCAAAGTACACTTCTAAAAATTCTTGAATATAATACATTGATACAATTTTAGATGGTTTTTGATCATTGAAAGTTGCCCTATTCTAAAAAACTATAGCTTAGATCGGCGGTATCACGACATATCCACAACTTTAATCAAGTTTGGTGATTCATGTGCACATTCATTTCTTACTGTTTGCAATAGTTGACTAATAAGAAGATACGGGAGTAAGATTTATAAACGAAAAGCCACTTGCTGTAACTGAGAATTTTCCCAAAACATATGGAGAGAAAGTGGTAACAATCAGCACGTAAATCGTTGAAGGTTGAAGAAAAATTGCTAGTTTAAACTGTTCATTTTCAGCGCTGTTATCATCTTCCATGAGTAAATTTAATGATGTATTAGATTTATCAAAGTTATTTTCGTATATATAGCCATATGTATCAAAGATACTTTGGCTCATTATAGTAAAATACCCAGGCATACTGACATTCACCAAGATGGTTTCATAGTAGTAGTCTTCGTCGAAGTCATAATGATATTCTGGCATTGAACATCTATCACGACAGTATACTTGATTGTATGCCGTTAATTCAGATGAATGGATCGTTTGATAGAACGATGGAATCACTATCGTTAATGAAAAATAAATATTCTCACAATGATCAAATTTAAGCAGATGGATAAAAGTAGAATTATCATACTATGAAATTTTACTATCAACTGAAAGAAATTTCTCTTTGTTTTCTAAAACATTACATTTTTCATGTAGCTAGTGTATGTCTAGAACAGGATGATTTATTGTATGAAGAGTTCTTGTACAAAATATTTGAATATGATAATACGCTTTTTCTCGATTACAAAATACACTCAACTACACTGCAGTTGACATGTCTCAATAAATATCACAAAATGGTTTTCTTAGTTCTAAAGTTTATTTTGACTATATTCAACTACGGTAAGTTCTATATTTTTGAGATCGTCAGTCTAAGTTCAAACGTTGTTAGAAACTTCCAGCAACTTAAGATGCCAAATATTTCACATAATATACATTACTTACGAATTTCACGAAGACCAACAGTTGTAGGGCCATCTACAACAATCGAAAATGTGCCGATCTCATTCGAAGACAAAGTTGTAACAACCAAAATATATTTTGTCCATGGTTGAAGAAAGTCTATGAACTTGACTTGCCCATTTTGATCACCTTTATCAACTTGTAACAATAAATTTAACGAAGGATCGAATGGATAGAAACTGTTGTTGTAGATATAACTACATGCGCTAATGTTACTTTCAATAGAGAAACTATAATTTGATGATATAACAACGTTGATTTCAAATGCTTGATAATAATAGTTAGAGATTGAACTGTTGATGCGACCATATTTTGAGCTGTTATTAATCCACATCGATGCATACTTTGATTGTACAGATGTTGATTGTCCTATTTAATGAAAAATAAAATTTATCGATATTATGTGGAAAAAAACACATGCATTGAAAAGGTTTTCAATGAGATATCTAAAGAGCAGATGTGAGGAAAAATCATCTATACACTTTCTGATTGGTGATAAATCTGAAAGATAGGATCAACAGGATGTAAATGCGACGAAATTTTTCCAGAGTCAGAATGGTACAAATTAAATATTTTCTTCGCATATTAAATCATATTTTTTTACTCATACCAATTACTAGTTCTATGAAAATAATTGATTTAGACAATAGTTCATGAATTAGAACCGTGTGAAACATCATAATTGCATTCAAAGTTTAATAAAAATAGTTATGCATCATGCAGTATTTATTACAGTATTTAGACAACAAATCTAACTTGCAACTTCATAGATGTTTATAAACATCGACTATCATACTTATAAGGCATAGATATAGTCCGATGTATCTTTGTTTTTAACAATCGTCTATCTATCGTTCAATGTCTTCATATCCCAAAATAAAAGAAAAATATATGGAATATATGCACTCTATAGAAAACAAAAAACCATTCATTCACATTTATTCACTATTGAAATTCTATTAATCTTCTAATGTCTTTATGTTTGAGAAATAAAAATTATATTTCTCATAAAAACATACACTATTGACTAGGGCTGCCATACGTACCCCATTGTGGGGTACAGTATCCCATTTTGCACCCCAACAAAAGTTGTATCCCCGGGGTACACCGTTTATACCACATTTGAGTTTTTGAATTTCTACTGTCATAAATTCGTCTATGAATTGAAATGAATTATAGTTTTTTTTTTTAAATACTTGTCATGTCTCTGTAGAAACATTCATAATATGCAATACTGGTGAAGAATCGACCAATGATTATTATAGTACTTTGGCGTCAAATGCAAGGTGAGGGGTTGTCTTTTAGTCCCTTCTCTCGCAATGATTTTTGCTGTTTTACAACCAAACTCAAATGTTTGCTAGAAGACACTTGGAACTATATAATAGTATAATAATATTAGCAAGTCATCAAACTGACTGTATAAAGAGAATAAATAATAGTATATGTACAAAAAAAGTGTGACATAAGTTTTATCAGGTATTAAAACGTATTTATACTATGTAGACTATGGCTGAACTATCTGGAAAAATGATGTCTTAAGTGGTTAAAAATCACTATAGCCTCTAAGTCCAGAAGTATTATTTGAAAGGTTTCTGTTTATTAACGGATTATTCAATGTTATATTATGCATCCGTATTCCTCTCATCATCTTTGCCTTCATTGTATTCTTTTTCGTCTACTACTTCCTATTTATTTGCATTCATTCTACTATTTGTAGATCCTTCTAACAAAGGATAATGGCTAATTAAAATATCGTAGTATTAGCGAGCATGTGTAATCATTGTTTTGTCTCCTTCCATCTCCGATTAGTGCCCAAGCAAAAACCACTATGGCTGTGATTACAAGCACCAGTGTCAGAACTAAGGTTCATTTTTTTCATAACTAAGCCAATTAGAATGATTAAATAAATTTCTGTTGGCAAATAATAGCTACGCTGTATAAGTATATTCTAGAACTGTAAAACTATAATAAACGCTTACCCGAGGAATAAAACAAAACCAGATGAGATAAGCAACATTCATAGATCTCCGGACAAAAGTCTTTTCCCCGTTATTTGTTTATGCTGCCATACTTGAATTCAAATTTATTACCGAGTAGAGATGGAACATGAGAGTTTTATTACTGTATGATTTGTACACCATACTGAAATAAAACTCTCATGTTATATCTCTATTTGGCAATAAATTTGAATCAAAGTATGACATCATAAAAAGGTAAAGAGGAAAAGACTTTTGTCCGAACGTGTATATTATAGGAATAATTATTTATATTTATTAACAGCTGTTACTCTTTGAAATAATGTTAATTTTAGCTGGTAGTGGTCTCTCTATAGCTATGCCCACAATTTACAGTAACTGTTTTATGTTTCTTGCTTATAGAAAAATACGAAAAAGTAAAAAACACCAAAATTGAAAAACAAAGTTTTCATCTTGAATTTGACGCCAAAGTACTATAGTTGATTTCAATATTTATTATGCCTTAATGAAAAATGTTATATCGTTTATTTTTATGGTACTCAGATTTGTTTCTAAAAGTCATGATTAAACTGAGAGTATTTTATTGTGTTAAAAAAAACAACAATGAAATTGATTTCTAAAAGGGAAAAATTAACTATTATGTTGTTTCATAGAAAAGTAGTTTCTTTTAAGTGTTTCCACATTAACCCTTCTATTTCAATAAAAATTTTTGTACCTCAATGGCGTATCCCATTGTAAAAAAATGTACCCCAAGAGTACCCCATTTGAAATCTGGTACACTCCATTTGAAAATTAAGATATGGCAGCCCTGCTATTAACTAGAATAAATATAGTCAACTTTGAAATTTTTACGTATGTAGAATAACAATTTATTAAATACATCCATAGTTTATAAAATGCTCTTCAAAATACAATTAACTCATATTAACAATGGAAGTTATTTATGTTTTATTATAGAATTAAAAATTTTTATTTCAATCTCGTATAAAATTCTAAACATATCTATCACAGTTTACAAAAATAATCTAGAATTTATTGTCCGAATTAATTCTCTGCCCATGGATAGATTTCAAAAGAGAGAAGATGTAACTAGGCTATTAAAGATCATGACAAACATATTGATATCTCTGTCGTAGACGATTAATAGATTTTTAAAAAAACTATTGTATGTTGATTAGAATCATGAGAAGACAAGTTCAATATTCATTATCAGTCATATTTCGCAACTCCACTGTAATAACGACATAAGAATTTTACCCAGTTACTGTAGTGATTCATAGATAGACATGACTAATAAACAGGTGTTTGTTTTTTGCACTTTTATAGAAAGAAAAAAATGAAAAACGACTTATATCAGTCTGCTGACCAGTTCAGAGTGGACTGACAAGTGTAGAATGGTGTCTTTATAAAGAACCTTAACTAGTTACAATTCTGGATTGGAAAAGATTATTATGTTCATATAAAAGACTACTATCCACCTTACGGATAGACAGCACATAATATAATATTTAAACACTTACTAGAATGACGGGAAACTATCTGAGCAAAACCAAATCCAGCTAGAAAAATCAGTGATGCTATTAACAATCGGGGTAAGATATAGCATAACCATGCACGACATTGTTTGTTACGAGATGGAGCATATTCACAAGAACTTTCCTGGACGAAGTTACCAAGATCATAATCGTCCGATTGATTGCCATCTGATGCTAATTTAAGATACAATGTCTGTCGCGAAAATACACTCTTTCCTTGATCCATTATCCGTGATGGGATAGTTATCCGATTTTCTAAATGATCATCTTTGGATACTACCAAGTCATGACGAAGTCCTGATTTTTCTGGAAATGTTGATTCTTTAGGCTCAGGATCAACAAGAGGAATCTCTTCCATCATATTTTTGCTTTATCTAGAATAACTTTGATACATATGATAATATTCTAAAAGTTATTAAAACCGATTAAAATCATTTTTTACTTAACAATATTCAACGGTGAACACAAATGTTGATCTGATTGATGGACTAAAATCGTATTGTTGATTATATAAAATCAAAATATTTTTATTCTACATTATATAGCCATGCATTCATTTAAATATTTCGAATAAGATTAGTCAAGCATTGTCAGATATATTTTTTAGAGATAAGAAGAATGAAAACAGGAGAACATAGATTCTAGCCAAGAAAAAAAAATGATATTTAAACGTTTGATAAGAATAAGCAACTTTAGTCTTCTGTTCTTTATATATAAAAATAAAAGAAATGAGATTGCCATCTGACAGTGTAGGATACAAGTTGGAAAAAGAAATTCATCATGAAAAGTACGGAAGATCATTTTGAATTTTATTTTTTATTAAATTATAAATAATAATGAAGAAGAGCAATACTAAGTAATGTTATGAGATGATATCTTATCGTCAAAAAAAGATAAAATTAAAGAAACATATGCGCTCTTTTTTTGTTTTTATATCTGCTAAGTCATCATGATGTAACAGAATGTTCTAGAAAAAATGTCATCAAACTAATTCACTTCCTTCAGAATCAAATATAGTAACACTAGCTGATATCACTAAGGTAAAATATAGATAAGATGTAAATAAAACTCTGAATAATTGTAAGCATATTTTCATTAGCTTATAATCATTACAATGAAATTAATTTTGCTTGTGTATGTTTTATTGCTTCTTGGTAATAACTATTTTCTACAAAATGTGGAATCACGTAGTCAGTGAGTTCAATATCTTCTTTTTTATATTTATCTATCAATAAGATAAATACTATATATTTAGATCATTTTCGGTCAAAGTCTATCATCAACGAACAAATACAACTAGCCGAGTAATTGCTGAAAATTTAATTAATTATAAAAATGTGAGTCAACTTTATTATTAAATATACATAAGTAGATTTGTTCGATTTTATACAGATATATTGGGTCGGAGATGTATGCATCGGTACACCACCCCAATGTTTCAAAATGCTCTTTGATACAGGTAGTTCAGATTTGTGGATACCATCTACGAAGTGTTATGCAACAGATTGTGCTAGTATGTTATTTTCTGTTATACACATACAATAAACTAATTATTTTATCATTCTTTGGAAAATAGATTTCGTGAGTAGATTCGATGAATCAAAATCATCGACCTTTAAACATCTTCCCAATCGGGAAATGTTTTCGATAGCGTACATGGATGGAACTCGTGTATCAGGTTTGATGGGTGTCGATAGTGTTTCAGTACGTGACAATATACTTTTTTTTCTCATCTCTTTCAAATGTGCTAATTCAAACCATATGAGCGCTTCACATAAAAGGAATTCTTCTTCGTATCTAGTATCATTCTTCAATATTTTGTTTGTCTGAATAGATAAATGGTTTTACCATTCACCATCAATCCTTCGCTCAGATCACTTTTGCAAAGATGCCAAGCAACCTGGCAAACGATGGCATCTTCGGTAAGTATTCAATCTTTGCTACTCAAACGTGTATTCATTTGAAAAAGTATTTTCTCATTAGGTCTAGGATTTTATTCGTTGTCCAATGGAAACATGACACCAGTTGTTTTCAATCTTTGGCATCAGAGACTAATTGATCAACCAATCGTTTCATTTTGGCTTGATCCGTATGAACTGCAACTTTTTGATCACAACCACAAATAAAAAAAAATTTTATTTAGAAATCCAGAACATTCGAGAGGTGGAGAAATTTTTTTCGGAGGCGTTAACTCTCAACTCTTTGAAGATGAAATCATTTATGCTAATGTGACCAAACAACAAATACAACGATGGGAAATCCAATTGAATGGGTAAGCAAGTTCTTACCAAGCTCAGTTATATTTAGAAAGATTCATTTTCATTTTATGCAGTATTAAGGCGGGTTCTTTGAATTTGTGTAATGGCGGATGTAAAGCACTTATCGACTCTGGAACAACGGATATTATTGGACCATATTCAGACGTTGACCGTTTTCTACGATCTATTCCAAGCTATAATCGAAAAGTAATTATCATTATAAAAGCACATTAGTCAATCAATATGTATGCTTATCTATATTGTAGGACGGTACGATCGATTGTTCAGATCGATCATTTTTGCCCGATCTTACCTTCATCATCGGGGACAAATCACTGATATTGACTGCAGCTCAGTATGTTCATTCTCATATTGATTCATCCAATGGTAACAGTGTCATATGTGACCTTGGCATTTGGGGTTATTATGGAAGTGTCGAGAATGATGATTTTGGGTGGATTTTGGGCGATGTATTTATGAGTCATTACTACACAACTTTCGATTTAGGCAAAAGACGTATTGGTTTTGCTAAATCAGTCGTTTATCTCAAGTAAACACTTAGTGGATGGTCAAGTTTTATCGTCATCAATAATCAGCAATATACATAAGAAACTAATGGATATGTCGCATAATTTAGAAAATAAAAAAATCCAGAAAATTTTTTGGAAAGTATGAGCAACCCTCATAAATTTCTTCCTTTAAAATGTTTTCATGAATATCTTCTTGAACTTTTACTCAATATCAGACAATCATGAGTTTGTCTTTCAGTGTTATCAGTCAGATATAAATTATCTGAACTGATTATTGAAAAAATTAGAAAATAAAACTTGATCTAATAAAATAAAATAACTGACAATATTGGTACTTTTTGTATTTTAGAAATTCTTTTTACAAGCAATCAGTTTTGGAGATCATCTTTTTTTAGAAATAATAATAATGATATTTTAATAATTACTCAAATATTCAATAATTTTCTCCTTAGAAAAGCAAGTTTTAGTATCATCTACTGTATTGAGTAGTTGATCGAGCGGAGCACAAGTTGATAACAGGAGAAAAATATGTAGAGCAAAATTTTTCTGCTTCTGTAATATGGATCATTATATTTTCTCTCGGTGCCAATGTAATTTAGGATGTGGGGCGTGGATGTCGATCGTCTCTTCACCTACATCCATACCTGCACTCACCTACACCCCACAATGCTCATAGCGTGGTCAGCATATCAGATGATAACAGATTTTCTTTTTTTTTGTTCTTTTTTTTATGATTGTTTTTATTATGATACGATAAGTCCTACGAATGAATTTCACATTTCATCTAGATGTCAATAATGATATGATACAAATGTGATGAAACGTTGATTGTCTGGAAAAGCTTTCACAATTCTGTACAATTTTTATTAATTAATATAGGTCCAATATCAAGATATAAATATATGAACCTCATAGTAATTGTTAATATGCGTTGAATGAGTAATATAAAGACATTTGATTCTAGGTTGACACAAATAAAATGTCGAAATACAAGCTAACATGACCTAAGTCTTTTTTAATAAGTCTATTAAAATCAGACTCTTTCGTATAGGATCATATATGTTCCGAAAGAGAAGACTTCAGCACATCTTTCGTCATGATAAAAACTCAATTTTGATTTTGATGTGAAATACAATCTAAAAGATATGTTGAAGTATAAAGGGCAGAAATTCGCTCCTCTCCCTTCTCATTACTGACAGTGTGTCATTAACAAACTCATTAGAATATATGAACTACTTCCCTACTGCAGTTGTGAAATGTTAAGTAAACAATAATGAAGAGATGTTTTCCAAAATATATCACATAAGACCATTTTCATGTGATTACGAACAATAACTTCATCGTGTTTCATATTTTAATTCCACAGGGATCGTGCTAACCGCTTTTTTTCAAAGAAATCGAGAGGAAAGTGATTGCTTAAATTAATATTAAAACTATAGTTTTCTTGAAAATCGAAATAAATTTACTAATTCTACTTAGCGATTTAATGAAAATTAAGTACAAAAAGAAAGATTGATTAAATTGTTTCTACACTTGATTTAATAAAATTATCTTGCTTGTTAACTTCTTCTGATAAAGAACCAACTAAAACTAAACATATTCTTTTATAATCTTCTTTCAATAAATTGAGTATTCCAGCATCATTTTCAAAATATAAACATAATTCTTTAATAAATTTCATGGCAAATATTAATAATTCACGATCTAGTTCATCATAGACAATAATACTTCTAATTCTATGGTTAAAACGTCTTATCCATCATGCCAAATATTTTTGATCATTACTTGTTGAACAAAAGTTATTAATTTCATTTAAAATATAGAGTGTAGTATGATGATTTAGCACCCATGTTTGTATATTTTCATCGTCCACAAAAAAGTGTAAAGTTTTTATTATCATTCATTGTAATATGATTTTGACTACTAATTAAATCATTAAAAACATTGATAAATGTCATTAAATGTGCATTGAGTAATGGTATGAAGATAGATAGTCTATTTATTTGATAAAGTAGAAGAACCCAATGATCATATTGAGAATATATTATATTATTAAATCTAATATCAGTTATAATTTGCATCTAAAAATTAATAAAGATATACAAAAATTCGATTTTTGATTTGTTATAAAATTCAGTAAGAAATGTACATAGTTTTTTTGCTTTTAAAAACATTTCTTTTGCTTTTTCTGCATTTTTCTTGCGCTATATTCAATTCCCAATTTATTATAATGTTCAATAAGATCATGTTTTAATCGAAAATGAAGATTTCTCAAATTGAAAATAATTCTATCGTTTGTAGTTGATGAGTGATCATAACGATAAATTTGTTTGACATTATCAAGAAGTTTAAAACCAGCTACAGATGACTCTTCATAATGAGTATCGATAATAAGAAATATACTATGATTATATGCAAAGGTGCTTAAATCACCATGATATTTTTCTGCATCATGAAATCTTAAAGAATCAGAAACAATATCTTTAAAAAGATTTTTCATATCCTTCGTCGTGTCGTCAGTATAGTCAATTGGTTTTAATAGAACAAGTTTCGTTGTTGGACTAATTGGTAGTCTTCTTTTTGTTTAGCCAAAAGAGTATTACCTTTTCTTGAATCTTCCTTTGCTTCTAACATGTAATAGCGATAGAGTTGATCAGCTAGTTCAAATATAAGCTCTTCACTATTGTCAAATTGTTGTTCTAGATCGACTTTATTTCTGTTCTTTCCTAATAAAAAATATTTCTATTATTTGTTGAGGTTTTTCTATCATTGAAGAAACATATTGAGAAGTTGAAAAAAGTAAAATTTTCTTATCAGATATTGTATCAAAATCAATATCTGAAATATTGTCATAGATTAATAGAGAATCATTAGTAATCGAACGAAGAGTATTTAACATAGCAGATTCGAATCTATTGAGATACGGCGATAAAGCGATAACAATAATCATTTTAATTCTGAACAACGAAAGTTATTAATCAACAATTTTTCCGCTTTAAAATCAACATGAATCGATTAAGAGAATAATTTCATTGTACCATCAAATATTTTAATAATCTTCCTAGTACATTTCAGTGCATATTACATTTTTTATGAATCTCCTGAAAATTTATTTAAGCCCTGACTTACTCAGTTAATGAGTGTGCACTAAAAATATTGAAAGGAAAATATGTCGCAATCGGAGAGAATCGAAAAAAATGATGTGTCTAGGTATCTATAATCAATTATTTTTTTTTATTATACTTCTACTGGTCTGAATATGAGAACGAATAGTTTAATGCTGATGATCTGTAATTCTCTGATGTATTTTTCAATCATTTTTTACTTCAGGATTTTTTTTCTCCGATTTTTATACTGGAACTTTGGATGGATTAGAACGAGTTAATTCGATTTTATGATGGATACACATAGATCGAATTTTGAATAAAACATTAAATTTTCAAAATATATCGCGTATTTTTACTGTATATTTATTTTTTGAAAAGTCTCTTTTAAATCTTTGATTGATTGGTCGTTCTTCATTCATCAACTTGCTAGTTTTTTTTGTTTATTAATCCACAGCCAATCGTAGAAAGATGCTTTCTTATTCATGTCTTAAAAATTTCCTTGACAACTTGTTTACTAGATGTATAGCCTATGACTACCCATGGAATGAATTGACTCGTCATTTAATAACTCATATGTCGAATTCCTTAGGCTTAGTCCAGCCAATTGAGAGCTGTGCTTTCTATAATCAACTGATTAATACCCATATACATATACAAGATATTCTGTTTATGCCGTGTCTCGTATGCTTGTTTTTGTGCGACACCCTGAATTTGATAGACTACTAGCATGTCTTTTCTTGAGAAGGTTTGTATTTCTATGGCACTCACAGCTAATCGAATATCTTAATTGTGTTTTATCCCACATACTTGTGTTTCAATGACGCTATCACGTTGTGTGAAAAATAAACCCCACAGTAGAGTTCATTAGCATCATAAATCTTATATGAACTCTCAACAAACTATTTTTGAATCATATGCTCTTGTAGGATTTATCCAAATCGTCATGTATACTAGAAAAGCATGATTTGTATATCTACACAACGCTCAGTTGTTCCCTGTTCTGCGCATGTTCACCGTCATGAGCGTTTCTGCTTTTCTAAAAGACGTTAGTTACATGTATTTTAGTGCATCTTTCTGACTCTGGGTAAGTGAGAAGAGAGCTGTATGAGATTGTGTCCCCTAATGTCTTTGAAAATTTGTACTTGAGCTTGCGCCGATTTGGACTATGCTTTTCTCGTATTTTCGGAAAAACTGCTCGTTACATCTTATTTACAAATATTTGGAAATTTTGATTAGTTTATGTAGCTAGTCAATAAGATTTCCGATGTCGATCCAGTGAGAAATACAATTTTTGAAAACTGAATGTGAGGTGTGGGTGTGGGGTGTGGGTGTTTGAAGAGATTACTCACATCCACATCCACACCCTCATACCCACATCATTGGAACACTGTCGATTGTTTCTATTGAGATTTTGAATTCTTTTTGAGGACGAAACCGGTGAGGACTACTCTGTACACATCCACTCAAAAATTAAGAAATAATTCAATGTAGGAACATCAGTTCAGGAAGAAATATTTAAATTAAAATATGTTTTATTAAATAAACCATGAAGAAAATAGAATTAGACAAAATATTTCAAATAAAAATAAATCAAGAAAAAAAAACTTCAAATATTTTTTCATGTTTACACATAGTATGAAAGATTATTTATTTATTTTTCAAACAGTCGCAAAACAGTAAAGTCTCTATGTAGAATGTTTAATGCGTGTGTCTATGCCCAAGTTAAGGGTCAAAGATTAACGGATAAGGATCAGCGACTAATGTAATACTTCAAACTCAAACTATGCAACTCTTCACACAACATTCCAATGAATGGATACTCCACTTTCTAAACACCAAAGAGAGAGAAGTATATCTCATGCACAGAACTATAGAACAGAATATGAAACTGAGAGACCGAGACAATAATATATTCCACGGAATATAGACAGGATGTGAGTCTTTTCAATGAACACCCACACCCACACCCTCATCCACACCCCACCCACACCCACACCCTTCCCAAAAAACGTGAATCCTTTACTAACTTTACCTACATAAATTGCCGACACGTTAACTTGATCACTTTAGAACATAGGGAGAGTTGAAACCAGAGGTGAAAAACTGAAATCTTTACTTTATAATTTAATCTTATGAAGACGAATGTTTCATTCAATTTCAGGTTTCTATGTTGTAAATAATTTCGTAAGCACGAATAAGTTTTCTTATCTAAAGCGATGGCACTGAAAATGAACGATATAGGTTATTATGTTTCGAATTTTGACATGACTCTTTCTTTCGTAATGTGATGGCGTTTCCACAATATTGACGTGTTTTAAATGAAGAACCGGGCCTATTGTCACTATTAGTAGATGGACGTGAACTATTTTCATTGAATATAAACGTCGAACTGGAAAATTTCCTGTGTCCATCCATGTTAATTATCAATATCAATTTTGGTAGGAACATTATGAGTGTGGTGAGAATGCAAATAATGAACATACATATACCATAAGCACCTACTGCCAAATTTTTTCCACGACCCATAGTGAGATCAATTGTCGGTAATGTAATAGAGAGAAAGAATAAATTATAAATTGCAAATACCAGCTGTCTAGTTTCATTAAACAAATCAGGAACTTTTCGAATTCTGTACGCACAAATTGTTGTCAACAACAATAAAGCAAAACGTGTCGATAAAACGAGTGGAATGTACACGGTCAATTGATATTTAGATGTACAATACTGATAATCACTCATTGAATTGAACGGCGACACTTGAAGATAGAAACGATCACCAAGACAGAGACCTGTTAGCATTGCTGATGAAAGTACAATTAAGCTGAACAGTATAATCAATAAATAATGATCCTTCAGATGATGTTTCACAGCATGTTGAGACATGTGAAATATTTTCGATAAACGATATGTTTTCAGCTAATTAAAAAATTAAAAGAACTATTAGCAAAAGTTTGTTAGCAACTACCTTGTTAAACAGAAAGCGAGTGAAATTTTTAAGATTGTTGGCGGAATGAGTGAAACAACCTTATTAACACACTCCTTCGGCCTAAAACGTAACTCCTCCGAATATACTTCTAATAGAAAGAATTACATTTAAAGCAATTACCTCAAAAACCTAATCCATATAGAAACAAATCCTACTAAAGCTCCCTTGACAGCATCTTCTAAATAGATCCAGTTAATGTCTTTGAAATCAAAGTATAACATGTACCTTTAGGCTTCTACAGAATTATGAGATTCTGTTAAACTTATGCGGAACTATCTGTGATCAGCAGCGATGAAACTGTCCCTCCGTGTTTTCATAGAATAAAACGTCAATCTTTCTCCTTGTGCTAAAACGAGTTCCACCAGAGAATATTGGCATATTCCAATTTTTTCCTCTAAGGTTTTCCTAATTTTTTTCTTCCTTTTTTAAAAGACTTTATAAAAAGAAAGAGCAATACAAAATTAATTCAACGAAACTTACTAATAATGTTCCAATGATCAAAGCATAACCAATATTGACTAACCACAACTCACTGATGCATACTATCGATGATTGATGATAGTTTTCTAATGTACGTGGAATAACTGATATTGCTAGACTTATGACACCCATTAGCATCAGAACAAGAAACGTTGAACTCGATGCTTTTATTACAGGATGTTGCTTGAAATAACATGTGAAAGTTATTAGTGTAACGCATAAGATTGTACAAATGATACTTCCTCCAATCATGCCAATTTGGGTCGAACGAGAGATTTTCACTATAGGACGAATCGGCAGATCGAGTGGTTTCGTCTCGGTCCCACCCATATACATGATTTTGACATGTGGCAAATAGCTAACTTGACCATCAATAGTGATTGAACCAATTTTAACTATTTGATCATGTTGAAAATTAACAATATCAAATGGAGCTACACGATCTCCATTCTGATCAACACTTACGTAACCACTAACACCAAGAAAGGTGACATTTTTCAATATTGCACGATATAATTCACGGTTCTCTATTTGTATCGGATCCAAATGCAGTACCTCAATCATGCGATGCAAAGCATGGGCAAACATAAAGCATGCATCATAGGCAAAATTAGCAATGAAAGAAATTGAATTCGAGTCTACTGTCGGTGTTTCTGGGTCATACGGTGCTGTAGACCATTGTTTAGCATATTCCTTATAAACATTTGAATTTACATCGGCAAAGTTTTGTAAACCGATGAATCCTTGTGACCACTCATAATAGTGCTGGACTGTTCCGCCCGTCGAATTCAAATATAATGCTCTATACATACTTGCATGTATACCAATCCATTGATATCCAGGACCAGTGAGACCCTCTATCAAACTATTATTTATCAATACTTGTTGATCGACAATTGTTCCAATAAATAGAATAATTCGTACTTGAGATTGTTTTATAGCTTTCATTTGTGTCGTTAGATTAGTAGTACCTGTAGCAAACGATGTTGATACGAGAATCGTTATGTTTAGTTTTTGTGCCGATGCCAGAAACATCTGAACACTATGAAATGTTTGCGCATCAGTTGTATAGATTAACGCGATATTTTTCCAACCTTGGCTTGCTATCAAATGTGCCAATGATACTGATTGTAAATTCAGATTCGGTATTGTGCGCAGAAAATAGGGATAACGAATTGAATGAAATTCTGTAAATTCCGACGATGTCGAACCATAAGAAATTTGAGGAACTTTATAATGACGACTCACATATTGAACGGCCTAAATTAGTATGGTTAGATAGAAAAAAAAATGACTTGTCATGTGCATTAACTTTTTACCTGTGATATGCCCGAAACATATTCGCCGACGATACCAATGACATTTCCGTATACACATTGCCAGAATGCGTCTATAATGGCGGTACCAATATCGGAATTTGTGTCATTGCTAACAAATCTCAACTTTGTTCGAGGTAAAAGATCTGAGCGATTGTTAATATTACGAATAGCTAATTTAAATGCAAATAATGCCGGATGTCCACCGACTTGTGTATTGCTATTCGGTAAATTTCTGGGACCAAGAAATCCAAGTGTTAACGATGATGGAAATGCTTGAACATGGTAAATAATATATAAGGAGAAAATTATATGCTGATATAATAATGGTGTCATTTGTAGTCATCCAATGGATTGAAAGGTAATCACAAAGTAAGTTTTTTTTTTTTCTATAAACGATCAGCCATCTTGACATAGACAGCCTGTAAGAAAAAAACAAATGTAAAATAGAATGCAAATAGCCTACATAAGTGTTTATTCTGATTCTTTCTTTCAGTGGGCATGAAAAGAATTAGCATAAAAAATGATTAATATTGTATAATAAATATCTTAGTTATAAAATTTGTCTTGCTCCGTGTAATCGATTCACTGAAAAAGAAAGGTACCATAGAGAACCTAAAAAGGTTTCGATTTTTGCAACAAAATAGTTCGGTATAGCAACTTTTTTTCTTCAGTGTTGGACTAATTATGGACAGTTGAACAGAAATCGATCGTATTTTGACTGTTTCTCAGTCATTTCATATCAAAAAATGAGGGGTGTGGGTGTGGGTGGGTGGTGGCGGTGGGTGTTGGATCCTATCTTCAATGAGAACCACACCCACATCCCACACCTACACCCCATAACGCATCAGAAACATTTTACGCTCATTACGCCGCTAATTATAATAAATTTCTTTCGTACTGTCGTTCACTTTACATATAACACGAAATTTTCTTTTTCTGTTCTGCTACGATCTATGACGGAATAAAACGAAGGGATATCGCTTATTACGTCTTACGGCCTATTACTAATTTGAGTGTACATTAGAAAGACCATGCCAGTGTTTTTCTATGCTTATACGGTATTAATATTTGCTAAGCGAAAGAAAATATTGAAAAGAAATGTCACAATAACAAGTAACTTCCATTTTTAATTCACTAAATCAATCTTTATAATTGCAACTGCGCCGTTTGATAACAACATAAACGACCGAATCAGCCTTGTTTCTGTCGTCTCTTGAAAGGCACATATATGTGTTCGCCTATTCACTGCCTTCCTACGCTATTTGCCTACTTTTTTCTTCTATAAACGGTATATGATGAGAAAAGGAAGCAATACCCTTTTTTTTCTTGTTGTGATGTGCCGGTAACTGGTACGAAGGAAAGCATCATCTGTTTTTTATGCGATTCGTCACTTGCGCATACCAGTGAGAGCAGAGATAGTGAAAAGAGATACAGCTTAAGAAAGGTAAAGACGACTCATTACTTAAAGGTTCTAAATACTGAAAATGGAAAATTTTCGAACGGAGCAGATGATGAAACTCGCTGGTACTCAAGGCGATGATGATCGCATCACTCAGCGAAATTTACGTCTGTTGCAATTGGCAGAAAACAAAGAAGGTTTCCAGCTCGTCTGGCTCGATTCCGATATTGATGATTCGTCTTGCTCTCTTCAAATACAGGTGATGTTACGAGAGTTAAATCCTGCGGCACAGTTCTATACAGACATGTCGCTCTGTATTGATTTGATCAAAACAGTCAAGGACGAACAAACTTTGTTAATTGTTTCAGGTGTACTTGCTCATGAGATTTTAGAACAAGTGCACAACATTCGTTCGTTATGTGGTGTATTCATTTTTTGTACTGATCGTGAATGTTATCTCTTCTTACTTAAGAAGTACGGCAAAATTGTCGAAATATTTGTTGATCAAGATTCTCTGCTTTCATCGATCTGCGCTACAATGCATCTGATTGAGAAGCAAACATTGGCATTCAATTTATTCAATCAAAAGCAAATATCCACTCGAAATTTGACCAAAGATTCTGCAAGTTTTTTGTGGTATCAATTACTCATCGACGTTCTGCGACAAATGCCACAAGATGAGAGAGCCAAAGAGGACATGTTGGAGAAATGCTCTGACTATTATCGACACAGCAAATGCCAGTTGGCCAAGATAAACGAGTTTCGTCATAATTACTCAAAAGACGATGCTATCAAATGGTACACAGCTGATACGTTTCTCTACCGACTTTTGAACAAGGCGTTTCGCATGGAAGACTTTCAACTGATCTACAGTTTTCGGTTCTTTGTTATCGATCTTTGTGCGAGTTTAGAGCATGAACATAGAAAGCTGAAGAATGAAAGCGTTGTGACTCTCTACTGTGGTCAGCAAATACCAAACAATGAATTCGAAAAACTGAAAAAAAACATTGGCGGTCTTATTTCGACGAATGGCTTTTTCTTCACGACACGAGACTTGAATACTGCTTTCATATTTGCCAGTGCGGACAATGAGTGGAATACAGCAGTTATGTTTCAAATTCGAGCAGATCCGTCCATCGAATCTGTCATTTTTGCAGACATCGATAAACTGAGCACATTCGAACGAGAAAAGGAAGTGCTGTTTTCTCCTGGAGCCACGTTCAAGATTGAATCGATTCAGTATGATGAGGCTAATAAATTGCATGTCGTAAGAATGAGCTCCACAAATGAGGGCCTAGAAGCTGAAAGTGCTCAAAAAAGGAAAGAACAAGAGCTGGAGGGTTATTCGCCAATGATTTCTTTCGGCCGCTTGATTCGCGAAACCCTCGGTCAGGTAGAGCGTACAAACAAATATTTCGAAACCTTATCTACAATATTTCCCCCCAAATCATCCCGATCTAGCTTCAGTGTACAATGAAATCGGTGCTGGTCACATGATAAAAGGTGAACTAAATACAGCATTAGAATACCATGAGTGAGCTTGCAACCTGCGACGAGACCTACTTCCCATCAATCATCCTCATCTTGGTGTTTCGCTCAATAATATGGCAGTTATTTATGACCAGAAAGGTGAATACAATCGTTCACTCGATTTATACAAAGAAGTGACAGACATCTATGAAAATTGTTATGCTGGTGCTCATTTTCGTAAAGCGATGCTTTTGAGAAACATTGGTATTACTTACGCGTCCAAAGGCGACCACGATGTAGCTCTCGACTATTTGACTCGTGCTATAGTGATGTACAAAGCTGTATTGCCTATAGAAGATTTTTTTATTGCAGGTTATCTCGGAGCTATTGGAGACATCTATGAGAAAAAGAAAAATCTCGAAATGACTCTCGATTATTATCTCCAAAGTTTAAAAATGAACGAACGTTGTTTAACTGCAGATCATCCTATGCTTGTGGAAAATCTTTTTTCGGTTGTTAGGATCTACCTGCAAAAACAGCAGTATGCCGAAGCTCTACAACTCTGCCGTCAGCAGCTTGCATCGCAACAAGAAAGTCTGGATAATAATCATTCTCACATTGTTCGCACTCTTATTCTCATCGGCAATATTTATCAAAAACAATAAGAGTTTCAACAGGCCTTAAATCTCTATCTAAAGGCTCTGTCAACAGCCGAGTATATCCGGCCGTTGGCTTACACATCGATTATTGCCTGTCTTAGAGAAATTGGCACCTGTTACTATTTTCGTGCGATGTACAACGAATCTCTTCTTTATTGGCGGCGACAGTTAGAATTAGAACGCAAAATCTATCCGTCAGAACATCAACATATAGCTGAGTCACTCAAATTTATTGGCAATATTCACTTCAAGATGGACGACCATGTCGATGCACTTGCTTATCTTCAGCAAGCATTGAACATCTACGAAAAAACTTTTTCCAAACACCATGACGATGTAAAGCAAATTCTCATCGATATAAGTTTAGTGAAAACTGCATTACAGAATCGAAATCCGAATATAGATGTGGATAGGCATGCACCAAAACCGACTTTGAAGTTTTGGCATTGATGTTTTAATTTTCATGCGCCTTTGGTATTGGTGTATTGGTTTTGAATACAGTTTTGGTATATGAGTATTAGTTTTGGTTTTGGCGTTGGGTTTTGAGAAATTGGAAATAAAAAATTTCGAAAGGATGAATCGACAGTGGTTC